AGTTGCTGGGATTTATAGTTCAACAATCAAAGAGCATTCTGGCCCCGCCAATGATAGAATTGGGTCAAACTTCACACACAGAACCCCCATGACCAACAGAAAATACTGTGTTTTCTGATGGTCTTTGGCGACCCCTTCTGACATCTCCTCATGACCCCGTCCAGGGGTCCCGACCCCCAGGTTGAGAAACACTGCTCTAGAGACTTATATCCTTACTCATGTGCAGTTTCAGCATCCTATGATAAATAGAAGTGGGTCAGGGGACATCTTTCACGAACGCCCCTCGAATATATACTGTGTCCCTAATGCAGCAAACCTTAAGAGAGTGTATGTTTAGCTTGCTCTGATTAGATCATAGTCCGCAGTCTATTTGGATATCCACTCAGACCTAATTTAATTGGGAGATCTCCCTTTCTGGAGAGCCCTAGCATCTGAGAATTGGCATCCTAATTGCCTTCCAGCTCCGAAGCCCAGAACATTGTTGGGCTCTCCAGCCTCTAATGATGAATGCCGTTGATGCGGCACAATTCTGAGAATAGTTCCAGCACGTGGGCGTCTTTGTCAGTGTGGGAAACCATGGGTTTAGGATCTGAATCAGGTGGGCAGCAGAGAGCGCACCTTTTCAGCCACGGCATTCCAGTCGTGGCTGCACTCGACAGAGAGCTTGCCTGGCATCTAAAATTGGGAATTGTTGTTTTACCACCCTTGTGGGAGGCTTCTCTCATGTCCCTGCATGGCAAGCTGGAGCTGACAGAGGGAGCTCCACCCACTTGCCACAGATTCGAACTGCCGACCTGTAGGTTAGCAATCCCGCTGGCTTTGTCTACGGACTACTTACCTACAAGTCTAAGCCAAAGAGCCGGCGTCGTCCGTAGACTCCTCCAAGGTCATGTGGCTGGCATGACTACATTCAGCGTCGTTCCCAGTAATGCGGTATCTATTGATGTATAATAATAAAACTTTATTTGTACCCCGCTACCATCTCCCCAAGGGACTCGGTGCGGCTTACATGAGGCCAAGCCCACAGCACATCAATAAACAAAGGCAATAACAAATAATCAATACAAACAGTTAAAAAATAAAATAAATAAAAATAAAACTCAAAAACAATACAATAACAATAATAACATACAGCATTTAAAAACCTCACATTTGCATATTTCGAACTGCTAGATTGGCAGAAGCTGGGGCTAACAACGGGAGCTCACCCCACTCCCTTTCAGTCAGCAAGTTCAGCAGCTCAGCAGTTTAACCCACTGTCCCAACGGGGTTTTTATATGCATTTTTAATCGTAGCTATTCCTTTGATATATTTTTTGGCTTTCAGGTTGTTGCACTGTATTATTATATTTATTTACATGTTAATTGGTTTGTTCTTATAAACTGCACCAGGAGTGTAACTTGAAGGGCAGGATAAAATATAATATTTGCAATAACTAATAAATATGGGGGTGGTGAATCTTGCGTTTCCTAGAGACAGTCTCTTTTTCTTCGTGTAGCACAGCCTGCAAATATCATTGCTAATCCATGATAAAAATGGAATGAACAAAGTTTTGCCAAATGTGTCGCTGGCTCCAAACCAACACTAATTAGGAGTCTTCAATTATTGTGTATTGGTATGTGAGATGTGATCATTAAATGCTAATCAAGGTGGCAAATTGCAACATTCACATGAAACAATCAGGGCCAGACATGAAACAATCAGGGCCAGCTAACACCTCCCAACCAAGGATTGCCCCAGGCAGTAACAACTCATCCTTGAAATTGCAAGGTCATTAAATGCCAATCAAGGTGGCAAATTGCAGTATTCACACGAAACAATCAGGGCTATACATGAAACAATCAGGGACAGCTAACACCTCCCAACAAAGGATTGCCCCAGGCAGCAACAACCCAGGCCTTGAAATTGCAAGGTCATTAAATGCTAATCAAGGTGGTAAACTGCAACATTCATATGAAGCAATCAAGGCCAGCTAACACCTCCCAATAAAGGATTACCCTAGGCAGTAACAACACAGTCTTTGAAATTGCAAAGTCATTAAATGCTAATCAAGGTGGCAAATTGCAACATTCACACAAAACAATCAGGGCCAGCTAACACCTCCCAACAAAGGATTGCCCCAGGCAGTAACAACTCACCATGGAAATTGCAAGGTCATTAAATGCTAATCAAGGTGGCAAATTGCAACATTCACACGAAACAATCAGGACCAGACATGAAACAATCAGGGCCAGCTAACACCCTAAGCAGTAACAACCCAGTTCTTGAAATTACAAGGTCATTAAATGCTAATCAAGGTGGCAAATTGCAACATTCACATGAAACAGTCCAGGCCAGACATTCAGGCAAAATAATCAGGCAAAATAATCAGGGCCAGAAAAGAAACAATCAGGGCCAGCTAACACCTCCCAACAAAGGATTCCATTAAGCAGGAATCAGCCAGGCTTTGAAGCTGCAAGGTTTTGTTGGCCTTTTAAATGCATGAGGTCTAGAAACTGTTTGTATAAAAAGAGAGGTAATTGTCCTAGATTTTTTGATGTGCATGGTGCTTATTCACTATCCTCGCATGGTACCGCTGCACTTTTTGCACCTTTTCTAGCCATAGAGCTTTGAAACCCTACCAGTCCCTGCTTCTTCCTTCGTAAGGAATGGGCAAAGGGAATGCCAACGTTTTGGCAGAACACTTGCTTTTGCAAAACAGACTGTGTCGGTTTCTGGCTGGAATCCGCATCCTTGAGCGCATGTGGTTGGTGACTGGCCCATGTACCTTTGGAATAACTATAGAAACAGCGGCGTGATGTGGGAGGCAAGTTGTGAGATGGCTTTGTGTGGGATGCGGAGATCAGGCTCTGAAAGAGATGCTGACGGTTTGCTTTGGAGGGTTTTGTTGCCGTGGACAAAAAGGGCCCCGAGAATGACTTTGAGCTCCGAATATTACGTAACCGCGGCTTGGCCAGTGGCCACTGGTAGGCGCATGCCTTGGAGCAGCTCATGTGCGCAGCAAGATATGCCTTGTCAATTCTGACCAAAGTGTGTACAGTGAGGTTTCGGACTCAAATTATTTTCATTGCTGCTTCACAACTGCAATCTTGGTACTGTTATGAATCGTAATGTAAATATCTGAAATGCATTCACTGGACCACATTTGGCGCAAATACTCAATGTGGCCAAATCTGAATACTGGTGGGGTTGGGGGAGGTTGATTTTGTCGCATGGGAGTTGTAGTTGCTGGGATTTATAGTTCACCTACAATCAAAGAGCATTCTGAACTTCACTAATGATAGAATTGAACCAAACTTGGCACGCAGAACTCCCATGAACAACAGAAAATACTGGGTTTGGTGGATATTGATCCATATTTTTTTCTGATTAATCATGATGCTTTAATTATGTTGAAATTGTAACAATTAAAACACATCCTTCATATCAGATATTTACATTACGATTTGTAACAGTAGCAAAATTACAGTTATAAAGGAGCAACGAAAATAATTTTATGGTTGGGGGTCACCATAACATGAGGAACCATATTTAGGGGTCCCGGTGTTAGAAAGGTTGAGAACCACTGGTCTAGAGGATCAAGTCCAGCGTGACCAGAAGTCTTTGTGGGTGGCGGCTCTGAATAATGAGTTGGCTGGATTCAGTCTGCCTTTGTAATATCTGGGTGTTTTGGGTCTGGGGGCAGGGCAAGTGCTGAAGCAGCGCATTCGGGATGTCAATGCACAGCTGGACCTAGAGAGCATAGGTAGGTCTTCAGCCACAAGGATTTTAGCTTCCCACAAAAGGAATATTCATTTGCACTACCTAACTATTCCACTTCCACTAACCTTAAGAAAAATATATACTAGGGCTAGGTTTGAACAACTCGGTATTATGATGGAAACCGGGCCCTACTGTAACATCCCAAGAAGTGAGAGATTATTATTATTATTATTAGATTCATTTCTTTCCTTTTGGCTGGGAAATAATTGCCTGGTTTTAAAAAAAACCCAGAAAATGCCTCCTGCCTTATCAAGGGTCCGCGAATAATCCATTTCCGTCTGGTTTGCAGTTCTTAACATGCTCAGCAACCCGCTGGGGAAGCCCCCGTTGGGTTTCTTGCCGCTGGACCCCATTGGCTCGGAGCTGACGGAAAGCCTTCCCGGCCCGGCTTTAAGGAGCTCCCGCCTGGACAGCAGCCGGTCGCTCCTGTATTCGCGCTCCAGCAGCCCCTCCAACTCCGACACCAGCGGATTCAGCTCCGGTTCAGACCATCTCTCAGACTTGATTGTAAGTTGTTGGGGTTGCTTTTGGTTTACTTGTATTGGTGTCCAGAAGTAAGAGAGTGGGATATGTGGGAACTCTACGGAGTTGTGCAAAAAACTGAAATCCTCATTGGAATTAAAATAATTTACAAAGCGGTCATCTGACTGGAGACACTTTGCTCAACTTCTCCCAAAAAAGAAAAGAAAAGAAACCTTGCGTAATTGCCAAGGCAAGCCTGTTTACTGCCTGTACACCAACCCTGTAAGGTAGGCCAATACATTACAGATGTTCTTATTTGTTTTGGGTCTGCTCCCCATGTGCTGCCAGTAAGTTTCCACAGGTAGTTATTCTGTGCAGCTACTTTGTGCTTGGTGTCCATGCAGTGATTCCTAAATGTTAGTGTTCAATCTAAGGTGACACCAAGATATTTAGGATGGGTACAGTGTTTGAGCTCTTGGTCTTCCCAGGTAATGTAATGTAATGTAATGTAATGTAATGTAATGTAATATATTGTATATACATACGATATTTATAATATTATAATGTAATACAATATAATACTATTTCTTTACTATATTTGAATACCGCCTTTCTCAGCCTGTGGCCGACTAATAATACTAAAACTAATACTAATAATACAATATTATAATTATATATTTTATATTACATGTAATATTACTAATAATAGTACAATGTAATGGTCTAGTACAATATAGTACTATGTAATACTGATATTATACTATGCTAATAATAGTACTATTATATTATAATATATTATAATATAATATATTATTATATTATAACATAGTATTATATTATTATTATTATTATTATTATACTATGCTAATAAAAATAAACCGCTGAGCTGCTAAACTTGTTGACTGAAAGGTCACAGGTTCAAATCCGGGGAGCGGCACAAGCTTCCGCTGTCAGCCCCAGCTTTCTGCCAACCTAGCAGTTCGAAAACATGCCAGTATGAGTAGATCAATAGGCAGGAAGGTAACGGCGCTCCATGCAGTCATAATGGCCACATGACCTTGGAGGTGTCTATGGACAACGCCAGCTCTTTGGCTTGGCAATGGAGATGAGCACCAACCCCCAGAGTCGGACAAACTGGACTTAATGTCAGGGGAAAACCTTTACCTTACCTTAATATAAAATATATTGTATGTATATATATATATATATCTTGTAAGCCGCTCTGAGTCCCCATAATAAAATATTATAATTATATATTTTATATTACATGTAATATTACTAATAATATTACAATATAGTGGTGTAGTACAATATAGTAATATGTAATACTGATATTATACTATGCCAATAATTTAATATATTGTATGTATATATTTCTTGTAATCTGCTCTGAGTTCCCATAATACAATATTATAATTATATATTTTATATATATTTTATATGTATAAAATATATATTTTATATATAAAAATATATAAAATATATACAACAACCCATTACATGTAATATTACTAATAATATTACAATATAATGGTATAATACAATATAGTAATATGTAATACTGATATTGTACTATGCTAATAATATAATATATTGTATGTATATATATCTTGTAAGCCGCTCCCTGAGTCCCCTTCGGGGTGAGAAGGGCGGCATATATAGTACTACTACTAATAATAATAGTAATAATAATATGGTATTATAATTATATATTTTATATTACATGTAATATTACTAATAATATTACAATATAGTGGTGTAGTACAATATAGTAATATGTAATACTGATATTATACTATGCCAATAATTTAATATATTGTATGTATATATATCTTGTAAGCCACTCTGAGTCCCCTTCGGGGTGAGAAGGGTGGCATAGAAATGTCGTAATAACTGTAACTGTAGTAATGCTGGATTGACTTCCTTGGTTGAGGGTTGGTCTAGATGGCCTTGGGAGATGCCACCTTGGATCCCGTTGTCTCCAAAATCTGTTTTGAACGCCTGTCTCTTGTAGTCAAGCCTCCGCATCTCTCCGCCTCTGCCATTCCTGCCTCTCGGTGGTCTCGCTAGAGATTCCTTGAATGGAGCTGGTTCCCACCTGGATCAGGATCAAGCGACTTTGGCCGCAGTCACATCCACCCCGACCGCCATCCCCAAGCAGTGGCCTCGAGCCTCCACTTGGCCTTCGTGGAACTTGCCAGACCCTTCCTCCCCGGAGGACCCCTTCAGCATCGAACGGGAGGCAAAGCTTCACAAGCAGGCAGCAGGTGAGCCTTTGCCTTGGAGGAACTCGGAGCGGCTCGGAAGTCGGAGCAGCTCGGATGCTAAACCGACCCTGGCTTCTGGATAATTTATTATTTTTATGTATTTATAGTGTTTATATACTGCCTTTCTCACCCCTCAAAAGCGTTCCTCCTTTTGTGCAATGTCTTTTTGTCTTCAGCCATGAACGACGCCACCTGTACCTGGAGCGGGCAGCTCCCACCCCGAAACTACAAGAATCCAGTCTACTCCTGTAAGGTGTTTTTAGGAGGAGTGCCTTGGGATATCACAGAAGGTGAGTAACTAGCAGCTTCCTATGGCTCTCGGAGAAGCAGGTGAGGGAGGCTGAAGATCGTTCGCTTCATGCTGGCCTTTTCCCTGCTTCATCATGTACAGGTAAACACTCTTCCCCTGAGTATTTATCCTTTTGGGGTAGGTATGTTCACACCTGGGACATTTTGGTACTTAAGGCAGAACTACCCAGTAAGAATTATTTGTTTACGACACTTATATCCCACCCATTGCACATATTCCAAGTCTGTTATTGCACTGCACTATTCTCTGAATGCCTGATCCCAAAGCCAAGTTTCCTTCTGAAGGCTAGGAGGGAGGGGGCTGAACTAATGTCGCTAGGGAGGGCGTTCCATAGCCAAGGGGCCACCACTGAGAACGCCCTGTCCCTCATCCCCACCAGTTGTGCTTGCAATGGAGACGGGACTGAGACCAGGACCTTCCCCGACAATCTTAATATCCGAGGTGGTTCATAGGGGGGAGTTATTTATTTATTTATTTATTTATTTACGACATTTCTATGCCGCCCTTCTCACCCCTAAGGGGACTCAGAGCGGCTTACAAGATATATATACATACAATATATTATATTATTAGCATAGTACAATATCAGTATTAAATATTACTATATTGTACTATACCATTATATTGTAATATTATTAGTAATATTACATGTAATATAAATATATAATAATAATATATTATTATTATATATGTTATAATAATATATATTATTATTAGTAGTAGTATATATCGCCCTTCTCACTACAAAGGGTACTCAGAGCAGCTTGCAAGATATATATACATACAATATATTATATTATTAGCATAATATATAGTAGTAGTAGTATATTGCATTACATTATAATATTATAAATATTATATGTATATACATTATATTACCCAATCAGTTTAACATCTAAAGAGCATAGTGTCCAAAGCACAGCAATATTATGTTACTGGGTTGTTGTAGGTTTTTTGGGCTATATGGCCATGTTCCAGAAGCATTCTCTCTTGACGTTTCGCCTGCATCTAAGACAGGCATCCTCAGAGGTTATGAGGTCTCAAAACTCCCACTGATTTGACAGAGTTGTAGTTCACTGTGAACCCAAACACCGATCTGGACCAAACTTGTCACACATACCTGATATGCCAAAATTTGAATACTGGAGGGGTTTGGGGAGAACTGACCTTCCTTTCTGAGAGTTGTAGTTCACCCACAACCAGAAAAATTGTGACCTCCACCGATGATGGACCAAACTTGACACACAGAACCCCCATGACTAACTCAACCTACTGGAGGAGTTTGAAGGGACTGACTCATAGTGGGAGTTGTAGTTTACTCTACAGCCAGAGAGCACACTGAACCCCACTGATGATGCATCTAGAGCAAACTTGCCCAACATAACAAAGTACTGATTGAGATTTTGGGGGTTAACCTGGCATGGCGTGACTTGTAGTTCACCCACAAACTTATGCATTTTGTAATTCTTCAAATAACCCAAGCTAGTCATAAATAATTATGGGAGTTGTAGTACAAAATGTGGGTGGGGGAATAGGTTCCTCCTGGCTCGTCTTGCTGGGCACAACCAAAAACTTGAGTGGGTTCTTCTGGCCTCTAAACGCATGTCTCTCTTCCGCGCAGCGGGTCTGATCAGCACTTTCCGTGTGTTTGGTTCGTTGAGAGTGGAGTGGCCGGGTAAGGATAGCAAGCACCCTCGCTGCCCTCCCAAAGGTAATATGCCTAAAGGTAATACAGACGTGGTAGGAAACCCTTTTATCCATGTTATAGAGCACGGAGGGCTGCATGCTGGTGGCTGGAGAGGTGGAAGCCCCACCCAGGCGCACCGTTTGTTTTCCATTGCGGTCACTTCACCTGGTAATTTGCTTGGTTGGGAGCGGTGTGGAGAGGAACCCACAAATTGGTGGCACTTCAGGAGAGAGGGAGCAGGTATCATTTGGAAGGGAAACTATCCTCGTATTATTATTACAATCTATATAAATAAAAATGTAATGTTCGTTTGTGGGATTAACAGAACTCAAAAACCACTGGACGAATTGACACCAAATTTGGACACAAGACACCTAACAACCCAATGTATGTCCTTCACTCAAAAACATTGATTTTGTCATTTGGGAGTTGTAGTTGCTGGGATTTATAGTTCACCTACAATCAAAGAGCATTCTGAACCCCACCAACGATGGAACTGAACCAAACTTGGCACACAGGACTCCTATGACCAACAGAAAATACTGGAAGGGTTTGGTGGGCCGTGTCCTTTGGTTTTGGAGTTGTAGTTCACCTACATCCAGAGATCACTGTGGACTCGAACAATGATGTATCTGGACCAAACTCTACACGAAGTCTCAATATGCCCAAATGTGAACACTGGTGGAGTTTGGGGAAAATAGAATCTTGACCTTTGGGAGTTGTAGTTACTGGGATTTAAAGTTCACTTACAATCACAGAGCATTCTGAACCCYACCAASGATAGAATTGGGCCAAACCTCCCACACAGAACCCCCATGTGGGCCATAATCATAATAATAACAACACTTTATTTATATTCCACCYTTCTCACCCCGAAGGGGACTCAGGGCAGATCACAGTACATATACACAGCAAACATTCAATGCCGCTTTGTATAGACAATACATAGACAGACAGAACAGAAGGAGGTGGTTTATTTCRACTCCATGTCCACCTGTTTTTGGTGCCATGGAAGGTTGGGCATTTTCTGATCTTCTTTCTTTATGGCATCGTAAAACACTTCCCCCGCTTTTAGCGCTACCTAATTTCTCTAATCACAGCTAAAGCTGTTTTYGAATTGCTTAGGTAAACAATGAGCTAGGCTGACAGTTGGCAGCTCAAGCCAACTCGGGGCTTGGAACTCGGAACGTTTTGGTTGATAGATCTTATAATTGCTGGTGATTTACCCTATTACAGTGTTCCCTCACTATTTCGCAGTTCGCTTTTCACAGACTCGCTGTTTTGCGGATTTTCAATAAATATTAATGTAAAATATTGATTGTTGTATTTTCACTGTTTTGCCCCAAAATGGAGAATAGCCAACAGGAATGTAGAACACAGGCCCGCCATTTTCGGCGTCATCTGCATGGCCAATGACAATTGAGAAGCTGGGAAGGCCAAGTGCCACCCCCTTCCGCGCCTCAGCCAATAGGAGCATGCCAAGCAGCCATTTGAGACGCTACTTGCTGACATGGGATTGTAAATATATACCATCCCTACTTTGCGGGTTTTCACTTTTCGCGGGTGGTCCTGGAACGTAACACCCGCAATAAGTAAGGGAACACATTATTATTATTATTATTATTATTATTATTATTATTATTATTATTGAAACACAACAAGATGAGTCCACAGCAGACACTCTGCTGGCTGTTGAATTGGATCACATGTCGAACCTTTCCCAAGTGTCTAGGACTGTGTGATGTATCAGCGAATAATGCGTGCAGATCCCAGTAAGGTGGCCTTCTGCAGCTGGCAGATAGTAATTTGGTCAGTGCCAATTGTCTTTAAGTGTAGTCCAAGGTCTTTACGCTCTGCACCCAGTGTGCCGATCACCATTGGGACCACATTATTATTATTATTATCATCATCATCATTGTTCTGTTGTTTGGTCAAGGAAATAACTTCTTTTGTCATTAGTAAAGGCAAAAGTTTCCCTTTGACATTAAGTCTAGTCGTGTCCAACTTTGGGGGGTGGTTCTCATCTCCATTTCTAAGCCGAAGAGCCGGCGTTGTCCTTAGACACCTCCAAGATCATGCGGCTGGCACGACTGTATGGAGCACCCTTACCTTCCTGCCAGAGCAGTTCTTATTAATCTACTCACAATAATAATAAATAATAATAAAACTTTATTTATACTCCGCTCCATCTCCTCCGGGGGGACTCGGGGCGGCTTACATGAGGCCACACCCATCAATACAGTAAACACATTATTACACAAAAGCATAACACAATAGAACACAAAGCATAACAAAACTAAAAAACATAAAATGCAAAACCAAAATAAGCAAGACAGCAATATAAAATCGGACATTAAACACACATAAATTACATGGGGTATGGCCAAATTTAAGGATAAAAATTTAAAATTTTAATACACTGGGAGATTGGGGAATGGAAATTATTGGGGAGGGAGATAAAATTGAGGAAGGAATTACTGTATATACTCGAGTACAAGCCTAGTTTTTCAACCCCTTTTTTAGGCTGAAAAAAATCCCCTCGGTTTATACTCGAGTCAAGGTTATTTATTATTTTATTCTGCTATTAGTATTATTTTTATTACATTTATTATTTTACTCTATTGTTAAGCAGTCTTATCTTAAATTATAGATTTGTGTAAATACTCAAAAACATTTAACCTACTGATGATTACCGGTAGCAGCTACATTTCTCACCCTCGGCTTATGCTCAAGTCAATACGTTTTTCCAGTTTTTTGTGGTAAAATTAGGTCCGTCGGCTTATACTCAAGTATATATGGTAATTGCACAAACCATAAAATAAAGTACTTGCATGTTTTCGAACTGATAGGTTGACAGAAGCTAGGGCTAACAGTGGGAGCTTACGCCGCTCCCCGGATTTGAACCGCCGACCTTTCGGTCAGCAAGTTCCGCAGCTCAGTGGTTTAATCTGCTGCGCCACTAGTGGGCCTTTTCTTTGTCAATAAGGTGGCCATTTAAAAGTGCCGTAATGTTACTCGAGAGTCTTTGATCCTAGAGTTCGGTTTAGGAATCTTGGGGTGCAGGGGTGACGATCGCTGTTTGTTTTGGTACAGTGACAGCAATTCCATGTTTTCTAAGCATTGAGTGAGATTGCACCTGTCCTGTTTCTTCCTCTCCCCTCAAAGGCTATGCTTACCTAGTGTTTGAGTCCGAGAAATCTGTGCGCGCCTTACTCCAGAATTGTTCCCGTGATGTGCTGAGCTCCAGCGGCCTCAGTGAGTACTATTTCAAGATGTCCAGCCGCAGGATGCGCTGCAAAGAGGTGAGCGGATGAACTATTTTGTGACACACTCCCAATAGAACTCAAATACATGACTGACACACCATCCTTGCTTTAGCTCTCATGTTCTTTGGAGACTTTCCATGCTTCGGAGCTGGTTTCTCCTTGGCTGCCTTCATGTAGGGATGATCCTCCACCTTCCTAATGCCGCCACCCCTTAATACAGTTCTGCACGTTGTGGTGACCCCCAACCATATCGTTATTTTTGTTGCTACTTCATCACAGTTATGAATCTTAATGTAAATATCTGATCTGCAGGATATATTTTCATTCATTGGACCAAATTTGGCACAAATACCCGATACGCCCAAATTTGAATACTGGTGGGGTTGGAAGGAGGGGGGATTGATTTTGTCATTTGGGCTTTATAGTTCACCTACAATCAAAGATCATTCTGAACCCCACCAATGATGGAATTCAACCAAACTTGGCACACAGAACTCTCATGGCCAACAGAAAATACTGGAAGGGTTTGGTGGGCATTGACCTTGAGTTTTGGAGTTGTAGTTGATGTTGATCCAACGCCCAGCTGCCTGATCACCTCCATGGTCATGGTGCCCATCATTTCGACATTGGAACACCTGTGTGGGGGGTAATTTTCAGGGTTCCTCTACCTCACCTGTTGCTTCTGGCCACTTAGTCCATCAGTCCACTTTGGTTGGGATTGAATGTTTACTTTTAAGCTTTTTTATTGTATTTATATTTGAATTGTTCAATTATTATGTCATGTTTATTATTATATGTGTAATGTGGCACTGTATTATTATTATTATTATTATTATTATTATTATTATTATTTAAACTTATATGCCGCCACTCCCCTGGGGCTCGGAGCGGCTTACAAGAATGCCATGGACTGTAAGCCACTCTGAATCCCCCAATGGGGTGAGAAGGGCGGGGTATCAATAATAATAATAATAATAATAATAATAATAATAATTTTTGGTCATCTCAGGAGCGACTTGAGAAACTGCAAGTCACTTCTGGTGTGAGAGAATTGGCCGTCTACAAGGATGTTGCCCAGGGGACGCCCGGATGTTTTGATGTTTTGCCATCCTTGTGGGAGGCTTCTCTCATGTCCCCACATGATAGTTCACCTAATAATAGTTCACCTAGTATAATAATAATAATAGTAATAATAATTCACCTGTGTCCAGAGAGCACTGTGAAACAGTGATGGATCTGGACCAAACTTGGCACAAATCCTCAATCTGCCCAAATGTGAACACTGGTGGAGTGTGGGGGAAATAGACCTTGACATTTGGGCGTTTTAGTTGCTGGGATGTATAGTTCTCCTAAAATCAAAGAGCATTCTGAACTCCACCAACAATGGAATTGAACCAAACTTGGCACACAGAACGCCCTTGACCAACAGAAAATACTGGAAGGGTTTGGTGGGCATTGACCTTGAGTTTTGGAGTTATAGTTCACCTACAGCCAGAGAGCAGTGTGGACTCAAACAATGATGGATCTGGACCAAACTTGGCACAAATACTCAATGTGCCCAAATGTGCACACTGGTGGAGTTTGGACAAAATAGATCTTGACATTTGGGAGTTCTAGTTGCTGGGATGTATAGTTCACCTCCAATCAAGCATTCTGAACGCCTCCAATGATAGAATTGGGCCAAACTTCCCACACAGAACTCAAACAATGATGGATCTGGACCAAACTTGGGATGAATACTCAATGTGCCCCAATATTTTTTAAATGGTTTTACTGTTTTTATTGTAATTTTATGGTGTTTATGTTGTTTGCATCATTTGATGCTTATGTGAGGTCGCCCTGAGTCCCTTTATGGAGAGAAGGGCGGGGTAGAAATGTAAGAAATAATAATAATAATAATAATAATAATAATAATAGTAATGTGAATACTGGTGGAATTTGGGGAAAATAGACCTTGATGTTTCCGGGAAGCCCCACTGTGCTTTAAAACAAGGCCTGTGCCTTCTGCAAACCTTAAAGATTAACCGGTTTGCACTGCTGCACCACCAGATTTTAATAACCTTGGGACGGTAACTCTTCGTAGTTTCCGGAGTTGAATTTTCCTCCTGCAGCCAGGGACGCTGTCCGTTTACGCTCTGGACCCTAATTTGCACTGCAAATAGGTCAGTGGGGGAAAAATACAAACTTTCCGCAACAATAGAGGCTGTACCTCTGCGCAGACTGATAGATGCTGCCAGGAGCCGCTCACAAGGCTCAGCATGTTATAATTGGCAGAAAGGGCTCGGCATAGATCTTTCCCAACAATAGACCCCTGTTTTGAGTGGCGGTGGGATGAGCAGGAAGTCCATGAGCAAAGCAGTCCGTGGATGGATGGCTTCTGGCCTCCTGCCCAAGGTCTTCCGCTTGCACCTTGGCCAGGGATTTGGCCAAAGTTAAGGATTTTGGTATGACCTGTTGGTTTATGCCAGAGCCTTTACGGTTCAATTTTGAGATCCTGAGAATGGCTGAATTTTTGTTGTTGTTGTTGTTGTTGTTATAGCACCAAGAGAGAGAGAATAGTAAGGGTCAGCTCTCCTGGCATGGTCTCGGCTCTTGCCATTTTCACTCTATTATTATTATTATTATTATTATTATTATTATTATTGTCGAAGTCTTCCATGGCTGGAATCACAGGGTTGTTGTAGGTGTTTTCGGGCTATATGGCCATGTTCTAGAGGCATTTCCTCCTGACGTTTCGCGTGCATCTATGGCAAGCATCCTCAGAGGTTGTGAGGTCTGACAACCTCAGCTTATAATTAGAAGTCTGACCACATAATCTCAGAGTCACTATGTCAGGCATGGGCAAATTTCGGGTCTACTGGCTGTTAGGAATTCTGGGAATTGAAGTCCAAAACACCTGGATGCCCAAAGTTTGCCCAGAAGTCCAAAACACCTGGATGCCCAAAGTTTGCCCATGCCTGCTGTAAATCGACAGACTTATACATAAACTTCCATAATGTCCCATTTTTTTGGATTTCAGTTCCCAGAAGCCCCAACCAATAATAATAATAATAATAATAATAATAATAATAATAATAATCTTTATTTAATACCCTGCCACCATTTCCTCAATGGGGACTCGGGGCGGCTTACATGAGGCCAAGCCCAACAGCATATTACAATAAAATAAAATCAAAATGCAATAGCCACACAATAAAATACATACAACCTATGAGTACGAAAAAGAAAAGAAAAGCAAAAGCATACACAATAAAGTAACAACGAGCATGTTCAAGATAAAAAAACTAAAATACTGTATATACTCGGGTATAAGTCTAGTTTTTCAGTTCTTTTTTTAGGCTGAAAAAGTCCCCCTCGGCTTATACTCGAGTCAAGGGTCTTTATTATTTTACTCATTATTATTATTTGTAATACATTTATAATTTTACTCTATTAGTATTATTACATTTATTATTTTACTTTATTATTATTATTACATTTATTATTTACATGTATTATTTTACTCTGTTATAACTCTTATTGCTACATTTCCATTATTTTAATCAATAGTAATAATAATAATAAATGTAATAATTTATTTTTATTACATTTATTATCTTGTTCTCTTTATTATTATTGGAAGGATACATAAGCACATTTATATTGAATGGGTTTTTAAATGCTGTATGTTATTGTTATTGTTTATTGCTTATCGTGTATTTTTTGTTTTTGAGTTTTTATTTTCAACTGTTTGTATTGATTATTTGTTATCACTTTTGTTTATTGATGTGCTGTGGGCTTGGCCTCATGTAAGCCGCACCGAGTCCCTTGGGGAGATGGTAGCGGGGTACAAATAAATTATTATTATTATTATTATTATTATTATTATTATTATTAGTATTATTATTAAATAATGGTATCAGAGTTGGATGAAAATTACAGTTTTATGTTAAATTACAGTTTTATGTAAATATTCAAAAACATTGGGCCTACTGATACCTCAATTAATGTACTTTTATTGGTATCTATTTTCATTTTGAAACTGACCAGTACCTGCTGCATTTCCTACCCTCGGCTTATACTGGAGTCAATATGTTTTCCCAGTTTTTGGGGAGTAAAATTAGATACCTCGGCTTATATTTGGGTTGGCTTATACTTGAGTATATACGGTACTAAAGATACTAAGATCAGGATGAGACAGGGATGGAGCACATTGTTTGTGAGGAAGAAACTCATAAAGGAACGGGGTCATACAAATAGACCTTCATACAGGTGGGGAACCAAGTTATGTCAGGTATTCTGGGAGGTGAATAAGAGGAATATCTAAAATGATTTGTAGACAACTGAACGGTGCCCTTACCTGGTGTCTCAGGTGCAGGTCATTCCGTGGGTCCTGGCAGACAGCAACTTTGTGCGCAGCCCCACCCAAAGGCTTGACCCGGGCAAAACCGTCTTCGTGGGCGCTCTCCATGGGATGCTGAACGCAGAGGCCTTAGCGGGGATCCTCAACGACCTGTTTGGAGGCGTGGTGTACGCAGGCATCGACACGGACAAGCACAAGTACCCTATCGGTGAGTGAGCCCTAGCCGTGGACCGATCCACCACATATGTAATGACATTTATTTCCTGTGATTTCTATGTCATCCTCCAAAAAAAAAAAACCCAAAACGTTTAATATACTGTGGATCGATGCAGAAACTGCAAGTTGCTTCTGGTGTGAGAGAATTGGCCGTCTGCTAAGTCGTTGCCCAGGGGACACCCGGATGTTGTGTTGTTTTACCATCACAAAAAGATATAGCCACCCTCAGTAAGACTGCTAACCTAAAATGGCTGAGTCAATATAAACGTACCTTTCAAACTGCTAACTACCTAAAAATGCAAATACCAAAACATCTCAGGGAGGTATTCACGCGAGCCAGATTTGATCAGCTCGAGACAATGGTTAGATACAGGAGATTTAACAGCATCCCTTATAATGAACGGAGTTGTATCTGCGGGGCACCTGAAATTGAGGATATAGCACACATATTGTTTGATTGCAAATTGTATCAAAAGGTGAGAGACTTCCACCTTGGTCCATATATCAAACGGACAATGTATTGGGAATCTCACATCAGAACAACATATTTTATGTGTGGCCAAGACCCAAAAATAACATATAAAACAGCTCTGTACTTAAGCAAAACAATACGTCTGAGAACCACATATGTAGGGCTGATTGGGGTAAATTGTAGGGGTGATAATGAAATATGATGTATATACTCAGCTTGATCCGTTTATCAGTTTTATCATGTCTTATCATTGTATTTACTGTATTATTATAAGTGTCTTATTTTAACTTTCTACGTGGAGTGTGATCAGGTCTTGTCAGGCCTTGTTGTTCTGTTTCTTATTGTGATATGGCCTAAGGGCTAATCAATAAAATTACTACTACTACCATCCTTGTGGGAGGCTTCTCTCATGTCTTCGCATGGGGAGCTGGAGCTGACAGAGGGAGCTCATCCATGCTTTCGCCAGATTTGAACCTCTGACCTGTCGGTCTTCAGTCCTGCTGGCACGTTGCGCCACCGAGGGCTGTGTTGTGACTCAGGTGGAATCTCAGAGTGATAGTGTCAATGATTCTGATGGGGATGATGGGATTCAGATTCACAGTCAGGTGCAAAGTTATGATGTCGCTGTGTTAGACGAAGAAGACCAGGAACAAGGGGCAGAAGTTCAGTTGTTTCCCACAGCAAGGGATGACGCTGGGGGAAGTGAAACGACTGAGAGCCAGGAGCATGATTCAGGAAGGGAAGATAGTTCTCAGCCTGATAATGAGGGAGGAAGCACTAACGAGGGAATTGACCTTGATGGAGCCGGAAGCTTAGATCAAGCTGATTGGCTGGAATTTAAGGTTTGAAAGAGTGTCAGGATCACTAGCAGGCAAGAGAGGGAGGCCCGGGGCCATAGGAACGTCTTTATGTTGTCCAAAGGGTATTAAACAGGCTGTTTCAACATGCCCCAGTGTCAGAGCAACTTCCCGCTTCATCCAAGAGACTTTGGATTTATCTTGCAGCTTTTCATGTTCATGTTTTCAGGACTTTGTTATGTTCTCATGGGACTTTGCCTTGCCTGTGTCTTCATGGATCTTGTTTGCTTGTGTTACCTTGGATTGATCTTTTATTTATTTATCGTGTCATCAGCAACCAGACATTTGTATTACATTTTTAACAAAAACAAACAAACAGACAAAACACAGAATTTGCAAGCTTGGTAGTTGATTAAATGTCCTTTGACCAGTATCTGGCCCCTTGGAGTGCCTCTGGTGTTGCCGCAAGAAGGTCCTCCATTGTGCATGTGGCGGGGCTCAGGTTGCATTGCAGCAGGTGGTCAGTGGTTTGCTCTTCTCCACACTCGCATGTCGTGGATTCCACTTTGTAGCCCCATTTCTGAAGGTTGGCTCTGCATCTCGTGGTGCCAGAGCGCAATCTGTTCAGCACCTTCCAAGTCTGTGTGCCCAGGGGGGAGTCTCTCATTTGGTATCAACCATTGATTGAGGTTCTGGGTTTGAGCCTGCCACTTTTGGACTCTCGCTTGCTGAGGTGTTCCAGCGAGTGTCTCTGTAGATCTTAGAAAACTATTTCTTGATTTAAGTCGTTGACGTGCTGGCTGATACCCAAACAGGGGATGAGCTGGAGATGTCACTGCCTTGGTCCTTTCACTATTGGCTGCTACTTCCCGGCAGATGTCAGGTGGTGCAATACCGGCTAGACAGTGTAATTTCTCCAGTGGTGTAGGGCGCAGACACCCCGTGATAATGCGGCATGTCTCATTAAGAGCCACATCCACTGTTTTAGCGTGGTGAGATGTGTTCCACACTGGGCATGCATACTCAGCAGCAGAGTAGCATAGCGCAAGAGCAGATGTCTTCACTGTGTCTGGTTGTGATCCCCAGGTTGTGCCAGTCAGCTTTCGTATGATATTGTTTCTAGCGCCCATTTTTTGCTTGATATTCAGGCAGTGCTTCTTGTAGGTCAGAGCACGGTCCAGGGTCTCTCCCAGGCATTTGGGTGCGCTGCAATGCTCCAGTGGGATTCCTTCCGAGGTGATCCTCGGAGCTTGGGATGCTTGTCTGTTCTTAAGGTGAAAGGGACATGTCTGTGTTTTAGATGGATGTGGGATCAGCTGGTTTTCCCTGTAATGGGCAGTAAGAGCACCTAGAGCTTTGGAGAGCTTCTGTTCTACCATCTCAAAGCTCCCTGCTTGAGCAGTAATGGCACGATCATCAGGATTGATCTTTTGAAATATATTTTTGCCTTTCACACTTTTTATCCTTTATTTTAATAAACCATAAAGACTACTGCTGGTGTGTTCTTTGGTGTCTTAAGCAAGGTGATTTTACTCTGAGGTGTGACAGTCTTGTAGTTTGAGAGGTGTGATTCAGGGATATTTCATGCAGGGATTTGAAAGTGATCCGACTTGCTGAACGCCTCTCGGAGCCTTCTTTCCACGTCCCCTGCTTCCATTACGGCAAACTTTGCAGTAAATCATGTGTGTGCTGACTCACAAGTCTTGCATTTCTCTGCTCTTGGCTCGTGGCTCTGTGCAGATCCATTCTGGTGCTGCATATTTATTATCGCACTCAAAGGGCTGGTTTGTTTTCAGGATCCGGCCGTGTCACCTTCAACAACCAGCACAGCTACCTGAAAGCGGTGAGTGCCGCGTTTGTGGAGATCAAGACGACCAAGTTTACAAAAAAGGTATGACGCAGCAAATATTGTGTCCAATTCTGGGTACCACAATTCAAGAGAGATATTGACAAGCTGGAATGTGTCCAGAGGAGGGCGACTAAAATGATCAAGGGTCTGGAGAACAAGCCCTATGAGGAGCGGCTTAAGGAGCTGGGCATGTTTAGCCTAAAGAAGAGAAGGCTGAGAGGACATAAGATAGCCATGTATAAATATGTGAGAGGAAGCCACAGGGAGGAGGGAGCAGATCAGGGGTCTGGAGAACAAGCCCTATGAGGAGCGGCTTAAGGAGCTGGGCATGTTTAGCCTGAAGAAGAGAGGGCTGAGAGGAGATATGATAGCCATGTATAAATATGTGAGAGGAAGCCATAGGGAGGAGGGAACAAGCTTGTTTTCTGCTTCCCTGGAGATTAGGACACAATGGAACAATGGCTTCAAACTACAAGAGATTCCATCTGAACATGAGGAAGAACTTCCTGACTGTGAGAGCCGTTCAGCAGTGGAACTCTCTGCCCCGAAGCGTGGTGGAGGCTCCTTTGGAAGTTTTTAAACAGAGGCTGGATGGCCATCTGTCAGGGGTGATTTGAATACAATATTCCTGCTTCTTGGCATGGCCCATGAGGTGTCTTCCAACTCTTTGATTCTATGATTCTATGAAATGAAAACAGAAACATGTTTTTGAATTGGAAGAGACCCTGTGGGCCATCCAGTCCCATTTCATTCTGCCAAAAAGCAGGAAAATTGTATTCAAAGCACCCCCGACAGATGGCCATCCAGCCTCTGTTTAAAAGCCTCCAAAGAAGGAGCCTCCATCACACTCTGAGGCGGAGAGTTCCACTGCTGAACAGCTCTCACAGCCAGGAAGTCCTTCCTAATAATATTCAGGTGGAATCTCCTTTCCTGTAAATTGAAGCCTTTGTTCCATTGCGTCCTAGTCTCCAGGGCAGCAGAAAACAAGCCTCCTTAGTTGGTAATGTGTTCTCTGCAGTGCCTATGCCATCTGTCCTCTTCTTCCTTGCTGTGAAAATTGACTGCGCTGCTTGTGCCTCTGCCCTCCTTCCTTGGTGGCATTACTATTGCATTTTCCTTTTTTTCTGGGCAGGTTCAGATTGATCCGTACCTGGAAGATGCCATGTGTCAAGTCTGCCGTGCTCAGCCAGGTCCCTTCTTCTGCAGAGACCAGGTATTGCCTTGTTCTTCCTTCATTCTGAGGCCATATTGAGAAGATAGACTTCCTTCCTCACTCTCTCCAACTGCAGTGACTTCCATAATTGCTCAGAGTAACATTTCCAGAGTTTGGATGTTGAAAGCCCATAGACCAGGCATAGGCCAACTTCGGCTCTCCAGGTGTTTTGGACTTCAACTCGCACAATTCCTAACAGCCTCAGGCCCCTTCCTTTCCCCCCTCAGTTGTTATCTATCTTATTTATCGGGAGGATTACTGGGAGTTGCAGTTCGGAAATTGGAAATATGCAGGAATTGAGATGGTCTCAAAGAAATCCAAGGAGAAGAAAGCGTGCATCTTGGAAGCAGTGCATTTGGATCATCCTACTCTCCTAAAGGGCCTGGTCTAGGGGATGCTGGGAGCTGTAGTCCAAAACAGAGAGTGGATATGCTATTGTGTGCTTTGTTTGCCAGGGGTTAGACATTGTGTGCATGCGCTGTGGCGTCTTTTTGCTTTTAATGGCTTTTAAAGTCCCTTCTGTTGTGTTTTTATAAGCGATAGTCACTTGTTGGCCTGAGAGGTGTCTTGTGTCCAAATTTGGTCTCAATTCGTCCAGTGGTTTTTGAGTTATGTTAATCCCACAAACGAATATTACATTTTTATTTATATAGATTACTAGCTGTCCCCTGCCACGTGTTGCTGTGGACCAGTCTGTGTATATGTGTTTTGTGTATGTRTGTGTATGTTTGTGTATATATGTGTGTTTGTGTATATATGTGGTTTTGCACATGAGTTGTAATGCATTTTTAATTTTTTTTTGCTTTTAAAGTATCTTCTGTTGTGTTTTTCTGTGTTTTTATGAGCGATGGTCACTCGTTGGCCTGAGAGGTGTCTTGTGTCCAAATTTGGTCTCAATTCGTCCAGTGGTTTTTGAGTTATGTTAATCCCACAAACATTACAGTTTCGTTTATATAGATTACTAGCTGTCCCCTGCCATGCATTGCTGTGGCCCAGTCTGTGTATATGTGTTTTGTGTGTGTATATGTGTGAGTATATGTGTACATGTGTGTTTGCTTATATATATGTGGTTTTGCGCATGTGTTGTAATGTATTTTTTGGTTTTTTTGGCTTTTTAAGTCTCTTCCACTGTGTTTTTCAGTGCTTTTATGAGTGATGGTCACTCATAAAAACACTGTCTTGTGTCCAAATTTGGTCTCAATTCGTCCAGTGGTTTTTGAGTTATGTTAATCCCACAAACAAACATTACATTTTAATTTACACAGATTAATGCAATATTTAATAATACTAGCCATCCCCTGCCAGGCGTTGCTGTGGCCCAGTCTTCGTTTATATAGATCACCAATATGATATGGGTATACAATATATTATTATATGTTTTCTGATGGTCTTTGGTGACCCCTCTGAAATCCTTCGCAACCCCCCCAGTGGTCGCGACCCACAGGTTGAGAAATGCTGTCATAGAGAGACCCTGACCCTTCTCTTGCTTTTCTCCCTCTCTCTCTCTCTCTCTCTCTCTCCGGCGTAGATCTGCTTCAAGTACTTCTGCCGCTCCTGCTGGCACTGGAAACATTCCATGGAGGTCCTGCACCACCACCGCCCGCTGATGCGCAACCAGAAGAACCGGGATGCCAGCTAGACCCCAGCGCGGCTGCCTTGTGTTTCACCCGCCACAGAGAGGAAGAGGGGGCCCTGGCATGCTTTCCGGAGTCCCGCCAATGCCTGGGAGGTGCCCGTCTTGGAAGGACTGTCGGGGGATTCTTGCCTTCACGTTTGCACTTGCTGGTCTTTATTTGTTTTTCTGCACTTTTTAATGCACAGTGGATTTTTTGTCGGGGGGGGGGGTATGGTCGGGGTTCGGGTTTGTTTGCGAGGGGAGGGCTGCCTCCATCGATTCTGCAGTTCCCAGACTTAGGTTCCTTGTTGCTGACGAGAAGCATCAAGGGGCCTTGCGTTCGTTGAGAAGGTGTTGAGTGCGGATGCCTTCGCTTCAGTTTCTTATTTATCAAGGGCCCTTTTTTTACATTCCTTGCAATACTGGTGGTAATAATGCAGGTCTCATTGGCTCGGTTGTGTTGCAGTTGCCATACAGTGCCTTTCCATTCGTTTCAGCCCCTCTCCCCGCCCCCTCCGCCTGAACGGAGTTCAACTGGACGTTCAGCTGGTGTTTTTTACTGTATCAACAAAGGAGACTTTGCTCTTCACTTAAACCAAATCATATTTCCTATTTTATGCTCCAGGATTTTTACCAGTTCCTTTTTACACTCTCGAAGAAGAAGAAAACAAAACAAACAAACGGTTTTTAAGTCGTTGGAGACGAGATTTTTTTCTTTCCTGGCAGCTTTTAACATCATTGCAATTTGTGTCTGGGAACTGTTAGTTTAAAAAAATAATAATAACAGTAAGTTTCTCAGTTGTGAATCGCGGGATTTGCAACCCTGGAAAAAGGACGGAATTTTTCGGATTTTTGAAACCGGACCGGATAAACGGATCTCTGAGCTGCTGTATATAGTTTGTTGCACTTTACGTTGCACTTCAAAGGGGGGGGGCTTGATAACCGGTTTTTAATCACAAAGTCACAAGACTTCAATTTACTTTTTTATAACTGAGCTGATTCGAGGGCGGCAGTGCTTTAAGGGTTCCCCAAAACCCTTTGTTCCTGTTGAGAAGAGAGAGAGGGAAGTTTGGAAGGAGAAGTGCGGCCCGCAGATTGTGCCGGGAGTTGAAGTTTTGATTTTGTTTTATTTCTCTACCCCCCCCCCCCTTGATTAGAAGCTGTGTGCCAAAGAACCCGTGTCATATGTCCTCCCTTCTTCCTGCTGAGCTGATGATGTTGCATATTCCAACTGCTCTTTGTGGGGTTTTGTGAACCAGTATGTGAAGTCTCTACCTCATTGTAGTATATGCAGGCAAGACTGCACTCTCCTTCGGATGTGTGGAGTAAGCTGTGATGTAGTTCTTGGCACATAATAAACACGTTGCAGCAGACCTTTAGCTTCTTCTCTATTCTTTTCTCAAGGATTGGATGCACCCAGTTCAGTGCATGCAATTAATAATAATAATAATAATAATAATAATCTATATAAATAAAAATGTAATGTTCATTTGTGGGATTAACAGAACTCAAAAACCACTGGGGGAATTGACACCAAATTTGGACACAATACAGCTATCAGGCCAATGTATGTCCTTCACTCAAAAAAACAATAAACAAAAAGCAGAAAGGACTTCTAAACTGCATGTCCACAAAGAGACCCATGACCACGTCCCCTCCTCCTCCTCGCGGGGAAACAGCCAGCGTTAAAGCATGAGGAGCCAGACGCGCGCGCATGGCCACACACACACACACTTCACTCCCACCATGGGAGTGGAGGTGGAGGCTTGCCGCATGGAGCCCCTTCTCTTTCCCTGCTATGTCAGAAGGGCACTCTCCTCGTCCTCCTCCTCCTCCTCCTTTCCCTTTTGGAAGAGGAAGGGGCAGATGAGTGGCAGAGGTAGCAGTGGAGCCCCCAGGCAAGGAAGAAGGGGAGGAGGAGGAGGAGGAGGAGGCGAGGAAGGTCGTCAGTGCTTGAGTGAAGGACCTTCCTTCTCTCCCTCACTCCCTTCCCTTCTTTCCTCCCTCTCCTTCCTTCTCCCCTTCTTTCCTTTTCTTCCTTCCTTCTCCTTCCTTTCCTTCTTTTCCTCCCTCCCTCCCTTCCTTCCTTCTTTCCCTTTCTTCATTTCCTTCCCCTTCATTTCCTTCCCTCCCTCCTTTCTTCACCCCCTCCTTTCTTTCCCTCCTTCCTTCCTTCCTTCCTTCCTTCCTTCCTTCCTTCCTTCCTTCCTTTTTTCTTTTCCTTCCTTCCCTTCTTTCCCTCCTTCCCTCCCTCCCTTCCTTTCTTTTTCCTTCCTTCCTGTCCCTCCTTCCTTCCTTCTTCCTTTCCTTCTTTCTATGCCATCCAGGCAGAGATATAGATATGATTCACACGGAGAGAGAGAGATATAGTATCATAGATCTGAAAGGGACACCTAAAGAAGTAAAATTATATGTTGCATGTTCCAGGGTGGACAAACCAGACACTCTCCACATCAACACTAGCAAAGAAACAGCAAGAAGTACTGTTGACCCACAAGCAGAAAGAAATTACATATATTAGAAACAAACATGTTCTCATTATTTTCCAGATCACCAGACTGGGCCACAGCAACACGTGGCAAGGGGACCGTTAGTCACTCATAAAAACACAACAGAAGAGACTTTAAAAGCCAAAAAACAAAACAAAAAAATACATTACAATGAATGCACAAGCCACAGCTATATATACACAAACACACATATACACAAATATTTACACACACATATACACATATATACACACACAAAACACATATACACAGACTGGGCCACAGCAACGCGTGGCAGGGGACAGCTAGTCTATATAAATAAAAATGTAATGTTCGTTTGTGGGATTAACAGAACTCAAAAACCCCTGGACGAATTGAGACCAAATTTGGACACTATATCCCAACAGACCAACTAGTGACCATCACTCATAACCCCCCCCCCCCAAAATACAGTGGAAAGGACTTAAAAAAAAAAGAAATAATGATACAGAAAAAAGGAAAGGAAGAGGGAGGAAGGAAGGGGAGAAAGAAAGGAAGGAAGGAAAAGAAAGAAGAAGGGAGCATGGAAGCAAAGAGAAGAAGGAAGGAAAGGAAGGAGTAGAGAAGGAAGAAAGGAGAGAAAGAGGAAGGAAAAAAAGGGGAAGGAAGGAGGAAGGAAGAGAGAAGGAAAGAAAAAGGGAAGGAAGGAAAGAGAGAAGGAAGGATGGAAGAAAAAAGCGAAAGGAAGGAAGGAGGTAGAGAAGGAAAGAAAGAAAGAAGGAAAGAGAAAAAAGGAGGAAGAAAAAGGAAAGAAGGAAGAGAGAAGGAAGGAAAGAGGAAAGAAGGAAGGAAAGGAAAGAGAAAGAAAGAGAAGAAAAAGGAAAAAAGAAGGAAGGAAAGAGAGAAGGAAGGGAAGGAAAAGGGAGAAAGGAAGGAGGGAGGGAAGTTGGCCACAGCAGTGTGGCGGGTACAGCTAGTCTATATAAATAAAAAATGTAATGTTCATTTGTGGGATTAACATAACTCAAAAATCTCTGGATGAATTAACACCAAATTTGGGCACAAGACACCTCTCAGGCCAACGAGTGACCATCACTCAGAAAAACACTCAGTAGAGTTTGTTGGCAACGCTGCAACTGGTAGTAGGGATATCAGTAGAGGGAAGAGGAGTGCTCAGGAGTCAGATGAGGAGCGACAAAGAAAGATCTGGGAGATACTTACTGCTCCCATGGAAGAAGAGGATTTCATGGGTTTTTCTGGGAATGATGGGTCTGGGAGTGATGGGGATGAGGAGGAATCACTGGATTGGACCAAGGTACAAGAGGTTCAGAAGGTGTGTACTCAACCAACGTCTAGTGACACATTTGCGGGGTTTTCTGGTGGTGGGGATTGGCAATCGGGTGATACTGTGGAATCCTGGGGAGACCTAAGTCTTGACAAGAGGTGGAAGAGTTGGAGGGATGGGCGTTGGCGCTCAGCTGTGGAAGCTAAACCAGCTGAGAGTGATGAGGATGGGGTGGAGGGCAGCTCATCATCGGATGATGAGCTGTAAGATAAAAGTAGGCAGTGAAATTATAGAACTTTGCAGTAGGCAAAGTGTTGGTTTCGTGCCTTGGGTCTTGTCGCTGCCGCTTTCCTGTTGGGCTTGGGTCCTGGATCTGCAGGTTGCTGTTTTGCTTCGTGTTACCGACCGGCTTGGATTCTCGTAAGTGCGGATTTCCCCTCTCCTTGACTTCGGACTGCTTTTGACGACGACACTGCCTTGTGGACTTTGGAACCTCGCAACTTCGGACTTGGATTTCTTCGACTCTGGACTTCATTTGGACAACGGCTCTTCTTCACGGCTCTTTGCTTGATTGTTTTCCATTTACTGTGTGATTTTGGGGTGTTTTGGAAGTGCTCCTGTTTAATCCGGATTTTTTGCCAGGATAATCCGGATTATTGCCTTAGTTTGTTTTTTAATTGCTGCAACTTTTGAGTTTTGACCAGAGGCACTAAAGTAAGTGTCTCTGAGTCTTATTTACTTTGTATGAATAAACTATTCTTTTGGACATACTCCTGAGTCTGGCTCTTTAAGGCGTCTGGGTTCCGACACCCCATGGCAGCACCTTATTGCAACTATGCCACTGTATGCGCGCTTGCCGTAATTGCACACCCTTCTCTCCCTTTCCTGTGACTTTATTTTCCCTTTCTGTGACTATTTACAATCTCAAACGCCTTACTGCCAGGAACCTGTCACATCCATAAGATAAGAAATAACTGCCACCTGCAATGAGAAGTGATACAATGACCACGAGTTACAGGGATTTGGTGTACTTTCCTGGGCAGGTTAGTGCAACAAGCAGTCATTAAGAAATCATTTCTGAAAGACGATCTTGGATCCGGCAACGTGATCGCAGCATCTGGTCTCTCGGTCAAAACAAAACATTCTGGAGAAATGACCCAGATCTCCCTTAAAGGTACACTGGACTTTGCTGGCCCTAAACAGGATAGTATTGGTGCTTGTGTTGATTCGTAATGTCCCAGACCATACAAAATCCAGATTATCTGGATTATATAGCAGTGTGTTTGTTTGTTTACAGTACTTATACTCCCCCTCCTTCTCACCCCAAAGGGGATTCGGGGCAGATTACAGGACACATATATGGCAAACATTCCATACCATGGCAAGTATTTGAATCCTTTATATTAAAATTCTCTTATTTTGTGGATTATCTTAAATGTGTTAACCCAGTGCACTGGACATCAACATTACAAAAATTTGGT